TGTTACTGGGTATAGGTAAGACGCGCCGCCAGCGGAGGCGACCAAGAAAAACGGAAATTGTGAAACGTGTTGCCGCTTACTCGCATCCCACACATGGATCGAGTTTAAGTTCCCGTGGTTCGGTGGCTGGCCCGCGGCATCGGGCCACACACACACACACACACACAAGAAGCATACGACCCGCTCCAGCTTTCGGAAAATAATGGCCATGTTGGAAAGCTAAAGTGCCCTCTCCCCCTCCCTCCACTTGCCCTCTCTTGCAGAAAACTGTACAACCAGTCATACTGAAAATAAATGAATGGGTATTCTTGCAAAGGATGAACAAACAAAAACGTAAACAAAAAAATAAAAATTAAATAATACTAAAAAAGTACTCAGAAATGAAAATAAAGTCTAATATTACTAACACACGCCGTTTGGTTCACGTAGCATCGAATTAGTTTAGTTTCGCGCGCTATATTGACCAACTTACGTATGCGACTTCACGTATGTATAAATAAATAATTGAGTAATTCAATATCTGTATTTCACGAAACGTCGCGGAGGCACGTCAGTCGCCCAGGGCTCTCGTTCATTCCGTGGGTAAGTGATCTGAATTTCTTTATGAAGTATGACTCCCGCTGTTCGCGCTCCCGTGTGTTCTGGAAGCCGGATTGTTGGAGTATGACACGCGTTCGAAAGAGTGACCAGGAAGATTGATATGTTTGGAGAACGGCAAATTGGGGAGGCCCTTTACGTGTGTCCTGTGGTTGTTGAAACGCAAACGGAACGCGGTTTCTGGCGGCCGGTGGTATACACCCAAGTTTTGAGGGTGTTGCCCTCATCGCCAGCCACCTGAGATCGCTGCTTCTGCGAAATATGGTGAGGTCGCCGTCAAACTGGCTTGACCATGCACCATTAGGTCTGCCGGGCCCACCGAGAGAACATTGTCATTCCCGGAGTGAGAACCCCAGCATCCGCGAAGCAAGCGGGATCCCGTGCCGACGATCATCACCACGAGTGCCGAGGGGTGCTCCTCCTAGAACAAGAAGCAAGAGCCTCTACAACACAACTCGGGGCCACCCAGAGGCTTCCGGAGACAGTGCTTCGCCCCCACGCAGGGACTGACTCAACAACCCGTCAGGTACGGCCCGCTCCAGCACATGTTGGTCTCGTGGTTTCATGGCCTTAAGAAAGACTGTTGATAAGCGCGTGAGGTTTGAAATGCATGCTTCAAACCTTAAAACATATATTTCATCGGGATTCGCACCAAAGGGTCTCACTGTTCAACTGCAACCCGCAATGAATAACTTCAACAAAAATGAGCAGTGGCAGTAGAGCAATATCTTAAAAGATGCATCTATTAGGCTTACACAGGTCGTAATACAACACAGTACACGTATGGCCGCGGAACTTAAAGAAGAAGAAAAGGTGCGACTAAAACAGTCAAGCTTGACGCAGTCAGAAACAGAAGAGCTGGCCAAATACGAAGGAAAAAAGAGATTGACAATTCAGGGCAAGAAGGACAAGAAATTGAGGCGAGACGGTGCGTGGCCGACTTTAAAATACTCCGCCAGCAATCCTCCCACAACGTATACAGATCAAACAGTTACCTCTCGTCAATCTCCACAAAAGAGCACCGATGTCACCAATGTGGTTAACCTTTCCAGCAAATCTTTGACACCTGCGCAAACAAAGCTGCTATCAAAAGGTCTAACCTTCTGCCCCGCCTCTGGCAAAATCGATGAGTTTAAACTTTACCAAGATTTGGACAACTTTGCCAGAACCATGCGTCTAAAAGAATATTTTCATAATCGCAGCAGCACGCAACAAAATCAATTTTAAGATAAATCTTAGACTCCAGGTGAACAACGAGACAAATATCTAGACATGTACATTTCAGCCGTCCAAGGTGATATAATCAGGGACTATTAAAAGCACCGACCCATTCGCAACAATCTGTCCAAAGAGGAGCGGGAGGCTTTGCGCAGTTTAAGTGACAGCCAGAGCATCGTTATTAAACCAGCTGATAAGGGTGGTGCTGTGGTTGTACTCGACAGGACTGACTACATCAAAGAAGGGCTTCGCCAACTAGCAGATGAAAATTTCTATAAACAACTTTCTTGTAATCCAACAGAGGAGTATGAAAGTACTATTAAGGCCTCACTAATATCATTACGTAAATGTGGTAAGATAACCTACCCTATGCTTAAAATGATGTCACCTGGCAAATCGTCTCCCGGGCGTTTCTATTTACTACCCAAAATTCACAAGATTAACCATCCCGGCCGACCCATAGTTTCCAGCAACGGTACTGCTACTGAAAAAATCTCTAGTTTCATTGACTCTCTGATTAGGCACATCCCACAATCATTCCCATCATACATCAAAGATACCAGCCACTTCCTTCGAGAAGTCTCAAAACTTGTGGTACCTCTAGAGTGCTATTTGGTCACCATGGATGTCTCATCACTGTGCACAAACATTCCCCACACCGAAGGAATCGCCGCCACAGTCGCCGCCTATGGAAAAAGTAAATCGACGAGTGAATTCGACGAAAGCGCTTTAGAGGTGCTCCTAAATCTTGTACTTAAACATAATAACTTTGAATTCGACCAAAAACATTATCTGCAAGTAAACGGAACTGCCATGGGAACCAAAATGGCCCCAAATTACGCAAATATTTTCATGGCCTCTTTGGAGATTCGTTTCCTCGAAAATTCTTGATTTAAACCTATATTTTACCGACGCTTCCTCGATGATATATTCTTCGTGTGGGCCGATAGTGAACATAATTTTTCCAAATTCATTTCCGGTTTCAACTCCCTGCATCCTTCGATAACATTCACGCACACGTATTTGCAGAAGAGTGTTCATTTTCTGGATGTCACTGCATCACTCAATGGCACCACCATATCTACTTCCCTGTATAAAAAACCTACTGACCACCAACAATATCTGCATTTCCATAGCATCACTGCAAAACAGGTGTTCCTTACTCTCAAGCCCACAGATACAGAAGAATTTGCTCTGAAATCAGGCAATTTGACACCCACGCACAGGAATTGAGAGCAGCCTTCTTGCGTCAAAAGTACCCCGAAAAAATAATTGACAATGCAATTGAGCGCGCTCGCTCTTTGGACCGAGAATCAACATTGGGAGAAAAAGGCAGGAATAAAGATGATATAACTTCTGGGGCAAATTTAATCCTCACATACTGCGCCGCCGCCCCTCGGGTGAATTCTATACTAAACCGCCACTTCAACATACTTAAACAGAGTAGTCACCTCTCTGCCGTTTTTCAGAATCCGCCCAAGTTGGTTTACCGAAGAAATAAAAACCTGAGAGACTTACTGGTCAGGGCGAAAACACACAAATCCGACCAACATCAGGGCTGTAGACCGTGCGGGAAACCTCGCTGCTGGGTGTGCACACACATGGTGACCACAGCTACGGCCGAAGCCTCCTGTTCAGGCTATGTGTACAAAATTAAAGATGACCTTAACTGTGACTCAGCCAATGTGGTATACCAGATTCGCTGTGAGGTGTGCAAACAGGAATATATTGAACACACGGAAACCGCGTTCCGTTTGCGTTTCAACAACCACAGGGCACACGTATAGGTCCTCCCCAATTTACCGTTCTTCAAACATATCAATCTTCCTGGTCACTCTTTCGAACGCGTAAGTGTCATACTCCTACAATCCGGCTTTCAGAACACACGGGAGCATGAACAGCGGGAGTCATACTTCATTAAAAAAATTCAGACCGCTTACCCACGGAATCAATGAGAGCCCTGGGTGACTGAAACAGAAATTGAATTACTCAATTTATTTATACATACGTGAAGTCGCACTCATAAGTTGGTCAATATAGCGCGTGAAACTAAACGAATTCAATGCTACGTGAACCAAACGGCGTGTGTTAGTATTATTAGACTTTATTTTCATTTCTCAGTACTTTTTTAGTATTATTTATTTTTTGTTTACGTTTTTGTTTGTTCATCCTTTACAAGAATACCCATTCATTTATTTTCAGTATGACTGGTTGTACAGTTTTCTGCAAGGGAGGGCAAGTGGAGGGAGGGGGAGAGGGCACATTAGCTTTCCAACATGGCCATTATTTTCCGAAAGCTGGAGCGGGTCGTATGCTTCTTGTGTATGTGTGTGTGTGTGTGTGTGTGTGTGTGTGTGTGTGTGTGTGTGTGTGTGTGTGTGTGTGTGTGTGTGTGTGTGTGTGTGTGTGTGTGTGTGTGTGTGTGTGTGTGTGTGTGTGTGTGTGTGTGGCCCGATGCCACGGGCCAGCCGCCGAACCACGTGAACTTAAACCCGATCCATGTGTGGGATGCGAGTAAGCGGCAACATGTTCCACATTTTTCCATTTTTCTTGGTCGCCTCCGCTGGTGGCGCGTCTTACCTATACCCAGTATCAATGCCAGAATTACCCGCTCGTTTCCGGCGGCTCTCCGTCGCTCCTTTCTAGTTCCTCTCCTTCTTCTGCTTCTTGTTGTCTGTTGCTACCTGGTTCGCCCGTTTTTTTCTTTTTTTTTTGAGGGTCTTCAAACTGTGAGGGTGACCCTCTGCTACGGGAACTTGTACCATTTCACTTAGATCCTCCGAAGAAGGCTGGTCCACCAGCCGAAACTGTTAGGATTAAATAAATATTTTATTGTTTTGTTTCCTATACTGCACTATTCTCGAAGTTTATAACTTTTATTACGGTAGCCGGAAGAAACTCCGATCATCTATTTCATTCATCTATATATAATATATATATATATAATATATATATATATATATATATATATATATATATATATATATATATATATATATATATATATATATATATATATATATATAGAAAGAGAGAGAGTCAATATAGCCATTCTAAATTTAGCATCTCAGCATCTTGCACAGACAAAAAATCACCATGCTTTTTACAGTAAGTGAACGTCTTCTACCATTTAAACTAGACTTACAACTGCTATTCTTAATGTCCTTTTGTTTTATTTTCCACAGGAACTAAACTAGAGCCAACTTGTCCGAATAAAACGAGGAACCAGCGTGTCTTGTGGAATTGTTACGATGATGGCACCTGTTACGAAAAGAGCTTCTATTACAATGCTAGAGAAGATAAATGCGAACAATTCGAATACAAGGGCTGTGGGGGAAATGGGAACAATTTTCCGTCGCTAGAGGACTGCACAAGCCGCTGCAAGTAAGTGTATTGAAACAACTGCTGTACTTAAACACCAAAATTTTCTCGGCCTGGGCTTGGTCACGGGCGAAGTAGTAGCTGTAACGATTAGCTGAAAAAGTAACGCTGATTTTCGCAGCCCAATGGCGAGTACAGTGCAGCGTCAGGGTAAAGAGAAATAGGGACTAAAGAAAATAGGGCTACACGAGAAGGGGATACAGCCAATCTTGCCCATTGCGGGGGGTGGCCGATAATAAAGGGAGACCACCAAGCTGCGGGTTCTCAGTGGTAGACGGTGATCCCGGTCATTTCCACGAAATCCAAGTGGCTGGAGAAGACCAAAGGTTGACACGTGGTGTGAACAGCAGTTTGTTTGCTGTCGTAGCAGGAAAATCGTTGCCTGTAGGCAAAGGTCAGCGTTGAGTGTCCTGCGCTAGCACTGGGCAAGCACAGAGAAGATACTCAAAGGTCACGGGGTAATGGTATTTATAGATGGCGCTGCCTAGAGAGGCTTCCAGGTCTATTTTATGCAGACGATATTGGGCTATTTTCAGACTGTCAAGATGGTAAGCAGCGGCTGGTATACTTATGCGGAAGGGAAGGTGAGGCTCTAGGACTAGGATTTAATGCAACAAAATGTATATTGGTGGTGTTCGATGATCACGAAGGCCAGGTGGTCTTAGTACAGGGCCAAGAAATACAGAGGCTAGGAGAGTGCAAGTACCTCGGGGTATAGGTAAATGAGAGAGATAGGTGTATGGAGGTACACGAAAAAAACATCGGCAGCAAAGGGAAAGAGGACTGCTGCAGTAATGAAGCGGAGGCGTTATGGTGATACAATTAGGTACAAAGTGCTTCGAGATTTGTGAAAAGCCGTAATGGTTTTAGGGCTTGCATTTGGGAACTCAGTGGTGTACATGAAGTCAGAGGTGCAATCAAGAATGGATGTAAATCAAAGGGCTGTGGGGCGCCTTGCGTTGGGTGCTCACGGGAAGATGACGAATGAGGCTGTAAATCGGAATATAGGATTAACAGGCCTGAGAAAAAAGGAAGCCACGAGCAAAATTATATTTGAAAAGAGCCTTAGGAAAATTAAGGAGAGTAGATGGGCTGAGAAAGTGTTCAGGTATTTGCATAGGAAGAGCGTGGATACAAAGTGGAGAAGAACTAGGAGGCTCACCAGTGAATATAAGGTTGGCAACGTGGGCGTTATGGTAACAAGGAGCATTAAGCGAAAAGTCAGTGAGGTGGAGAGGATTTATTGGATGATAGCGATGCAGAAGAAGCCGGCTTTCGGTAAATACTGAAGGGGCAAGAACGACATTAGGCGAGAGAGGTTTTATGATAATTCAAGGGGAAGCATGCTACTGTGTGAAGCGAAGCCGGGTTGCCTTGAAACGCGTAGTTGTAAACGAGATTCAATAAAGAAGAGGAACATTCCACATGCTGTGAGGGAGCTAAGAAAACGATGGAACATGTTATGATTGAATGTGGTGACATCCAACCAGTTACACGTGTGGGTACCAGCTTACATGAGGCTTTGGGATTTAGGGACGAACATGGAAAGCTGTACACGCCCGCGATAGAGGCAAGTAACAAATGCTAAGAGTATTGGTAGCAGAAAAGTAGAAATAAAGGGCAGAAAAAGTGAGAAAATGTGGTCATTCTACCTGAAGAGGAAGAGAGATGGAACACAAATTTGGGTTCTTCTTTGGTATCATGAGATTTATTTAATAGAAGTAGCTAATGCTGTAAGCCAACATAAAAAGAAACTTTACTTTTTTTGCGAGCCTGGTGGCACACATGCCATCGCCCTGTTATAAAAGAGTCGCTAATAGCGTTCATTCATGCGTAACCAAGGCGAGGCTGCGCTGGGGACGAGGAGGAGTGGAGCGCGAAAGGCGAGGCCTTAATCTATTTGCCTTCGTGCGCCTTCGATAGCGGTGTGGGGAGCAGCACTGGTGGGCCACATCTATGACCAATCGCCCTTTATCGTCTGCTATGCTCTCCTTAGAGAGTGGGTCGTTCTAGCCTCCGTGAATGGTAAATAGTATGTACTTGTTCTATTTTATGAATTGCTCACTATATGACGCTGTGTGTATATAGGTAAAGTTGTGTTTACTAGATGGGAGTAAGGTGCTGTTTTAGTTGACGATTAAAGTGGGGCTCGACAGACTGACTGACAAAGACAGACAGACAGACAGACAGACAGACAGACAGACAGACAGACAGACAGACAGACAGACAGACAGACAGACAGACAGACAGACAGACAGACAGACAGACAGACAGACAGACAGACAGACAGACAGACAGACAGACAGACAGAAAGAGCTCCGCAGGGCGGCTGCTCATTTCGACGCAGGAGCATCCCGACCTGCTGCCATTTTAGCTGCTGTAACAGAGCATTCCCACGACGTACGCGAGGGGGTCGCTCAAGTTGCTTGCTATAATTTGCACGTAGCACTCGGCTGTTGCGTGGGGAAAATATGCCGCAATCGCACAGGACTGGGGAAGGTGTCTGTCTGCAGCTGTCGCCAGACGACTGCCTGGCATCGTTTCTGCTTGGGGTGAGGATAGAGCAATATCCACCTGCCTAAACTGGTAGTGTTTTGTAATGCCGTTATAGCTCTCTAAGGACGCGTTCACCGTGAGCATTCTGGCCGCCGAAAGTGCACTAAATCTGATTCGGTGGCAGTGGGATCCACCGAAAGGGCCTTCTCTACGCTGATCGCTCTCGGACCGATTTTTGCGGCGTCTGCTGCCGAATCGGTCGCCGCAGACCAATAGTAGCGCTAGTCAAGAAATTTTGAAAAAAGGCGGCCAAGCAGTACTCACTTGTCATGTCGCAGTGCACGTAACGGAACGTTGTAACCCATGGGAGTTTTATCCACTGTGTGCCTACTTCACGTTCCTTCGTGGAAGTAGTGACCGAGCTTGGTGTTGGCGTGACCGAGCTTGCTGCAGTTTCGCAGAGCAAGACGAACCATCAACGCCGCTATCGTTGGCAGTTTTTAAAGACGATAGTCTTTCTTGGGGCCTTCGACAGCAAAAATTCTGGTCTGTCTGTCTGTCTGTCTGTCTGTCTGTCTGCCTGTCTGTCTGTCTGTCTGTCTGTCTGTCTGTCTGTCTGTCTGTCTGTCTGTCTGTCTGTACATTTGTCTGTTTCTCCGCCCTAACGATACCTCAAATGGCTTTAAACGACCAACCCCATTCGCAGCGCCCACCAATATTGCTCAAGTTTTAGCGTTCATAGCTGTGCGATTGGGAATTAAAAATCAATTATTGCGTATATCTGAGGCGCCATAACAACACTTCGAAGTATGTCTGCATTTATACTAGAAGAGGCACACACAAGTAACTCTAAGAAATGTAGCGTTTATCGCGCTGCGCTGACAGTGCAACGCGATGCTTGAAAAAGTGTTTCCAACGCTCTGCTACAACGTCAAGGTGGTGGCACCGACCCGTCACTTTGCGTTTTACACCTTATCCCCTCCGTGGGCTGCACGCCTTCGTTTTCGAAGATAACTGGCAGATGTCACTTGTGTCTAACGTGCCTCGATGCACTCGTTCGCCTCCGCTATACGCTCGCGGCACTCTAACGCAGCGCCTGCAGAGTACCAATCACCAATTTTTTTGCGCAGAACATCAAATAAACGTTTTGTTCACTCTCTGCAGATGCCAGACTATCGTCTTTCGAATACATTTGCGGTGTAACATGCAGATTTGGAACCAATTTTTTGAGCTCTTTGTGCATTACAAGACCGCGACTTGCCAGCAAAGTGAACAGTACTACTTTTTTTTGCTTTATGCGTACGAGAATCATTCAAGTCAAGACCACCGAATAGCACAATTGCGCTTATGAGCCGCGACAACAACCGGGTGACAGCGCATCCGTCCAGCGTTTGCTCTGTGGTAGATGGCATATTCGGCACGTCCAGTGCGAACAACACGTCCAGTGCGAACAGTACTACATTTCAGCGGCAGGAGAACTTCGCTTACTGTAGAAAATGGATGCTTCAGTGTGAACTAGGGGTAAGCGCTCTCCCACGTTTTCAACCAAGGGGTCCAAACTCGGCGAGGCGGCCTCAGACTCTGCGTGGCAGGTCATTTCTGCCACCTCGTTGCAATTAAGGGGGCCTTCATTGGTGGGGGTGGTGACATGCGCTGGAAACCACGGAATCGCGGTGCTATTGAGCTGTTGCCTATCATCTTTCTTCGTAACCTGTGGAGCTTCGGAAGAAATGCGTCCCCGTGCGTTTACTTACGAACTGCGGATTGTGAGGCTCTAAGAACTGCTTCGCAGATGGGGCCAGTAAGCGCAAGCACAATCGCAGCCTCTTCCGCGAGGCCTGGATACTTTGTACTAACACTACATTCGTGGGTAAGCCGGTAGTTTAGAACTGCGACTACCGCCATGAACCGGTGTTTGTGCGTGTATTCTGCCGCATTCACAAAGGGCACAATCCTGTCCCCACCGAATTAGAGCAGCAGTGCCTTAGCATAAGCCTGGCGTCGGCCCCCGTTATGTTCGGGATGCACATTTCTAGGAATAGGGGACACTATCAGCGTAGCACCAATGTCATGTTGAATGTCCTCTATCTGACCTTGTTTGATGTGATAATTCAGGGCGAGTTTCCGCAGGATGTACCGACCCATGGCTGTCCGGGGCATATGTTTGAGTTGCGGTATTCTTTGCGCATCCACTGTTTATTGAAGGGTACTGTACACACCCAGTTATAGCCGACGAGTGGTGCTCGCGGATACCGGAAGGCCAAGAGCGATCTTGTATGTCTTGCGTAAAGGTGTTGAAATTCTCCCTTTCGGTGACAGCCCAGCTGTGGAAGGCCGCCGCAAAAGTTACGTGACTGATTGCAAACGAGTGTATAAGGCACATGACGCTGTCCTTCCTTATTCCCGTGTGCTTGTTTGAAATTTGTTACAAAAAGGCAGGTATAGCTGCTGTAACCTTGCCCCCCGTTCTTTCAGATGATTTTGTAATTTGATCAGTTGGAACCTAT